CTTCAGAGGACAGAACTCTGCGCCCTGGTGCAGTTTGTGGGATAGTTGAGTATTTATAGCTGTGGGAATCAGCTTTTTGTCCTTTTTTTAGGACAATACAGTATATTGTATGGTTTATCACTAATGAAACTGGGCCCTCACTAAGGTCTGATTTCGATGATTTTAAGCAGCTTGGGAGCGAAAAAACAGAATGCAACCTGTGTGATTAAATGCAGCTGAAGTGAACGCAAATGCCTTATGAGGTGTACTTCTGTCACGTACTTGCCACCACGTATGCGCTGTTTCTTCAAGGGCCATGCAGGGAGAAGGGTGTCCCACAAGGCTCCTGTTTTCTCTTGTGGTGTTTTAGGGGGAGGAAATTGACTTAGAATGTTATCTATTTTGTTATCCCATTTGAAGAAAGTTTGTTCGGAAAACTGATACTTTTTCATGGAGTTGCAGACATTTCTTCTGTATGGTAAATCAGATACTAAAACAAAAATCTGACTTCAGCTTGTCCTAGTTTATTTTACTCTGAAAGGCTGTATCATACTTAAAAGGGGGGGGCAGGAAGAGGGGAGAGATGGGAAGAGAGGAAACAGCCAGGACTCTCCCTTCGGTGTGAAAAGATGGAAGATGGAGGCATGTGTGAGGAAAAATCCGTCTTTGGAAGCAGCTCATGGAAAATATACAGGCACGAAGGAAAGGGCCAAGGGGTAGGCAGACTTTCTGGAGGCAGAAAAACGTGGGAGGAGAACGGCCAGAGTTATTGGAATATGAGGTCCATCCAAACAGGTTAAGTCACCCCAAACTCTGGCCAGACAAGTTTAAATTAGCTCCGAGTGACTGCAGCTCACTCTCAGTGTTTCTCCAAAATAAACAGTCCTCACCCTTCTGAAAGGCAAGCGCTGGAAATTTCCATTGCAACTTTCACGCCTGTGTCTAGCATAGCCGGCACCAATTACCCTCTCTAAACAGGCCGGGCCCAGAGATCTGAACGTTTCTGTCACATGTTTTATCCCAGGGAGTTCACCCGCTTTCTTGGGCACCCCGAACCTCCCTTCAGCATCTGGGTGTCTTCAATTCAGCCGTGAGCAGTTGGTGGTCCGAGCACTGGGTGTGTGTGTGTGTGTGTTGTCGATGGAGTGGGGTGGGGTGGACCACCGTTCACTCCGTTTAGGAGCAGCAGAGTTTGAACGGCTTTATGGATGGCAACTGGGCATTCGCTCACTTTCTTCGAAGAATGCTAAGCCGGCCCCACAATCTTTGGGGAAATCTCCCACCCATTCAGCGGAGAGGAGGCCTGAGTCTCTGTGCCCCCCCTAAAAAAAATTCCTGTCCTGACAACTCTGCTGACTCCTAGTATCATCAGAACAATCTGCTTTAGACTCTGGACGTGATGTCTTGTGTTCCTCTTTTAGGTCCGAGATGAGGAACACCTTGCCTTCCCCATAGTGTTGGGTGGCAGAAATCCCATCCTCCCTTGCTATTTTCTCTGCTGAAAAGGGCTGATGGGCATTGCTGTTTATCAAGGTCCGTCTCATTTAGATGGCAGTTGCTAGGCCAGGAGGAGCCTTTTCTACTGCCTTGCCCCACTTCATTATGCCAGAGATAATGAGGAGGAGAGAAGTGCAGAATAGCCAAAGAGGAGGAAGATGAGGCGGCTGGAAATTCTCTTTAGGTTTGGGGAAGTCCCATAGCTGTATTCCCCCTTTCGGAGGCCGGCAGACAAGAGTGGTTTAAGGTCCTTTTAAAAAAAATGAAAGAGTTTCGCTGTGGGGAGAGGGAGGTTGGGAGACTTTGTGGGCACCCCACTGCTCTGCTGATGTTGGGGAAATCCAGAAAAAGACAGGAAAGGAACAGGAAAAAGTAAAAGCATTGCCTCACTCATTTCTTCCCCTTTCTCTGGTGCTGATGTTGGGGAAATCCAGAGAAAGACAGGAAAGAAACAGGAAAAAGAAAAGTAAAAGCATTGCCTCACTCATTTCTTCCCCTTTCTCTGATTTCCTTCATCTTAGGTTTGCCAGTGAATATTCAAGGGCGGCCATACTGCTCCCAGTGCCTGTTTGTGGAACAGGGCGGGAGAGTTCTAGGATCTTGAACAAACAAAAAAAGACACAAATAAACACAGCAACCGCAAACTTCAGATGGTGGCTGGAAGAGACATCATGTAACACTCTAGCCTCAAGAACAAACAGACAGAAAAAACAAACCAGGATTTCTGTTGGAGTTTTATTTAGAACCTTACACTGCTGTGTGTAGTTTTAGCAACTGGGAGGGATTTTTCTGGGCTAAGGTGGAATTATTGTTTATCTGTCCACTACTGTACTAACCAATGGATCTTTCTAGTTTTTGAAATTCAAGGACATCCCTGTCTTTCTGCTGAGTGTTCTATCCCTCTTTTTCATCAGTTGGTGGCAGTTGTTTGTTGCTGCTGATCTGTTCGGTTGGTTGCTTGTATGTATGCAGTAAAGAAAGCAATATAGACAAGTCTACACTTTCAAGCAACTATAAGTATATAGAAACATTTTTCATTCTTTCTCCTACAAATGTCTCGGAGTGAGTTACTGAGACTCTATCTGCCAATTAATTAGAAAGGAGTGGACTCTGGAGAACTTATAGCTATTCTCCTCTCTGGATCTCTGCATGTCTGCCTGCTGTGTAGCAAAAAGAGAATTTTACCAGAAGTTCAAAACTCTACAACAGTTTCAGGGAGAGATAAAAATGCTGGGGAAGAAAGAAGAAGGAAGAGGGAGAAAAGTTATATAATATAGGATAAGGAGAACACTGTGTGGATTCTAGGAAAATTCTGGTATGATCCATGCCTGAAGGGCAACTTAAAGATTTTTCAAATGCCCTGCTTAGGTGCAGTGCATCATTCACTTGATATGTGCTAAAACAACTTTAAATTTGATAAGCCCACATTTAGTGCACAAGTGGACAAAGCCTGACGGTTTGAAGGCCAGACTCAAGTTTTCAGCCCCATCGTAGCCTACATCGCACTTAGGAATGTGTGTTATGGGAATGGCCATTTTGTGGGTTTGGGGGAGAGTGTGTGAGTCTTGGGGATTCCCCCCTCCAAATGTAGGAGCCGCAATTCCCCCCCCCCAATAAGTCATTTTTGGATGTGACCGTGTTTATTCAGTTGCCCAAACCCCCTCCTTGATGATGCCACTGAAAGTTCTAGACATTTTTTGGAAGTGACAGCCCTGGGATCTGCAAAAATGCCCCAGAGAGGAATAGTTGAGGTTCTCAGGCTGCACTTTCTCCATTCCCTGGTTGAACTGATTGTTTATTCAATAGATTGTTTATTCAGTTGCCCAAACCCCCTCCCTGATGATGCCACTGAAAGTTCTAGACATTTGAGCATTCGTCTATCCATCCATGTGGTGCTTGGCATCACTGGCATCATAAACTGAGAGACTATTTTCAAGATTACAATGTCTCCAGCTGTCTTTAGAGAATTTTTTCTACCCTTGGAGAAATTACACCCCCCAGACACACACACATATGTGCCCTCTTACTGGAAGAACAGCAGTAAGAAGCAAGATCGGATGATACTTGTGACATCACTAACAAAGCTGCTTGAGTTAGGTCTAATAAGAATGAGCAGTGCAAGCCTATAATGTTTGCTCAGGTCCTGCTGTGCTCCGTGGCACTTAACTTTCAGGAGAACTGACACAACACTGCGACTTCAGCGGACAGATTACAGCTGCTTTGTTCCGTGCACTTTTGTAAGAATATGCCCCATTGACAGCAGAAAGCCTTCCTTCTGTGTAAATGCACTTAAGAGTTACCTTCTTCAGTTACAGTTTTGGCCACCCAGGTTTTGACCTATAAATCCCTAAGTCACCTGAGAATGGAGTATCTGACATACAGTAAGAACACAAACCTAATAAAAGTCTACTCAGATGTAAATTCCATTGTGTGCAATAAGGCTAGTTCCCTACAGCTTTATTAGCGATCGTGTAATGGTGGTCTTCCCATGCCCTCACCTTCCGAATCTATGTTTGGTTATCAAAACAGGCTCTTTCTTATTGTAACACTCTGAGTAAGGAGTATGTTCTCCTGGAAGCCATTTTACTTTACCGGAGAAAGTTAGGCTGAAAGATGAAGAGTCATAAAAAGTGACAGCAGGGGTCTAGAAAATGAGCTTCAACAGCGAGTGCCCCAGCTAAGCAGATACAAAGCTCAAATGTATTTTTTATTTAAATTCTAGTTGTTGTTTATGAATGTTTATCTATCCCCATAGGCAAATCTTGCCATAGCTCTATGCCTTCTTTTCCTCCTTGGTAATGGCTAATTTCCTCATTGTTGGGAATGTTGAAGGGGCCACCTTACTCTCTGTGACCTTTGGAACATCCTCTCTTGAGAATTGTTTTTTTTGAATATGTGGAACTAATGAACTGGGCCCTTGGTGGCATGCACTGCATTCAAAACCCAGAAGTGAATGCTTCTGCATCCTGCCTAGCATCACAGGCCCAAAGGCCACATGCTGTTGTGTTGCAGATTAAGACCTTGACCCACCAGTATGGTGTCTGCACTTGACATACATTTTTATCCTGGGTGGGGAAAGTTGATGCCATCTAAATAGGAAGGCCTAGATGAAAATGAAAACCACTGACCATCCCCATGATAAATAAGTAACCGACTGACACCTAACCTCCCACTGACAGAGGCAAGATCTCCAGGGTGTCTCTGAGTGTTGAAGAGAACTGTCCGATCTTATTTCAGTCACTCAATAGGAAGGAAGAAATCTCTCCAAGAGACCTGAGCTATTCATAATAAAGGAACCTTCTTTTTGTCACTGTGGAGGTGCTTTTTGATTTGCAATAGCATAGCCTTTATGACCATGACTACATGAGAATGTTGGGAGACGAAGCTTCCAAGATAAGTACCATCAGACATCATGGAGGTGCCAGGAAACACAACATTATCCTGAATAACATTAAAAAGTAGGGTAACTGTGATTCTTCCTCCTCCTCTGCTAATTTACGCAAAATAACTGTAGAACCCTATGCATGTCTACTGAGCAGTTCAAGGCTGGCTCTACCATTAGGCAGAGTGTGGTGGCTGCCTAGAGCAGCAGATTTTGAGCAGTAGGTGTTTAGTTATTTAATGTGGTACTTTTTAAGTTATGCTGCCATGTAATGCTTTTATCCTTGTATTTTTGGGTCTTTGACTGTACAATAAATTCAAGTTCAAGTTATGCTGCCAGATTGGGGGAAAGGAGCTCCATAGCCTTTGCTGCAACCTGAAATACCAAAATCACATGGCTGGTTTGGGATAACTCTGTCCCTTGACCTGGAGGAGACCAGGTCCCCATTAGCTGCTCAGGCCACTGAAAGACTCAGGGTGGTCCTGCTGGGTTTTATTGAGAGAAGGTGTTTCGTTGAGTCTTGTTCAATTACATTGATTTGCATTTTGCAAAACAAAAATTTGTGTTTTTTAAAAAAATCTCTTTAGAGTGAGTTGAGAGAACGGAGGGACCAGGGACTTAGTTCATCATGTGGCCATTAATCCAGGTTGTAACATGAACATAATTAGGCCCACTTTTTTTTTTTAAAAAGTCCCATTGATTTCAGTAGCATCAATTTAATCATGTGTTCAAAAAGCTGCTGTATTATGTACTCTTTCATAAAGTCAGACTTAGTGCCAAGTTAATCTGTAAGCCACTGGAATGAATGCCATGAAAGGGGCTGAATGGACCTGTTTTTGTGAAGCAGATGTTAGGTCTTTAAAATCCCTTTTTGAATTCTTAGGTGGGATGAGTAGGTGTTTCAGGAGGGGAGATTCACCCACTGGGTTCCATCCTCATCATAGCATTGATTTCAGTATTTGGCATGCGTCTTCAACATTTATTCAGAAGAAGGAAGGAAGAGAAGAGAAGGGAAGGGAAGGGAATGCTCTCACTGCTGGAAAACATTAGTCAGGGGCATTCTCCCCCCCTCCCTCCCCATAGATTCCTAGTTTTGAAATGCATGACCTTAGATTTTTTTTTTTTGTATCGAGCGCTGAGTATTCTTTTCTATCCTTATCTTCCACTCTAGATAAACCACCCTTCCAAGATGCTAAAACCAAGAAAGTTGACTCCTGTTTCTTCCTTTCTTTAAAAGAAGCTCCTGCATAATAGATTGAGGAAACGAGGCTAAGGAGAAGAAATGAATAATTGAAAATGAATGGGAGGTGATTTGAAGTAACCTGAGACAAAGAGAGCTGTGTTTTGATGGATGAGAGAGTGAAAGATGAGATAGGAAGAAGTGCCGTCCGTGTCCCAGAGGTGAGCGAGGTCTGTAGAATAAGCAGGAGTGGGGAAAAGTCTCATCAGATCTCTAAGGTCCTGCGCAAGAAGATGTGATGGTCCGGGAGAAGCTAACCACAGCTCTTGGCTTCCAGCTCTTTCCTCATGCACTGACATGGAGAAATGGATTATGGATTGGCAAGGAATTTACACTTTAGTAGCCTCCTGAAAATCATCTGCATCCTCCCAGCAGTGGCTTACAGTGAGTAACAGTCTTGCTGGCTGAGCTAGGGAGCAAAAAGTGTGTTTCTCTCTCTCTCTCTCTCTCTCTCTCTCTCTCTCTCTCTCTCTCTCTCTCTGTGTGTGTGTGTGTGTGTCCATGACCCAGAATATTTCAACCAGCCCAGTGCTGGCATGGGTCCCCTTGTAGAAGGATTCCTTCTAGCAAGACTGTCAGAGGCAGGTGCTTCATGGGGCCACTATAGGACAAAAACAAGGCTGGGCATCTCTGTGAATCAGACAGGCGGTCCATCTTCCCTATCTGGATGCAGCCTGAAAAGTGGGGAGCAAAAAGTGTGTTTCTCTCTCTGTGTGTGTGTTTGTGTCCATGATCCAGAATACTTCAACCAGCCTGATGCTGGCATGGGTCCCCTTGTAGAAGGATTCCTTCTAGCAAGACTGTCAGAGGCAGGTGCTTCATGGGGCCACTATAGGACAAAAACAAGGTTGGGCATCTCTGTGAATCAGACAGGCAGTCCATCTTCCCTATCTGGATGCAGCCTGAAAAGTCAAAGTTCAATATATGTAGCTGGAATGTAAGATGTAGGAAAGCACAATCATTCCTGATCATGGGGCACTGGCCGTATTCTGCGTTGGCCTTACCCTCAAATTTCCTGGACTTTGTGGAGATCCAAACAACATGAAATGGCCTAAAGTCTTGTCTTAAACCAGTAGAGGGACCCCCCACTCTACCCCTGACGAATCAATCAATTTTGCTTTCTCTTGCACGCAACACATTTTAAACCTGAGTTTTTCTCATTGTGCATAGAATGTGAGTTTTGGGAAATGCTTGGAAATGAACTGAAATTCTCCCCACTTATACCTGCTGAATTCAAAAGTGTGGGGAGGAACTAGCTGCCATATACAAACCTTCCAGGAGAATGAGGTGATAGTCCTAATTCAGCACTAATATGGCTGAGCACAGAGAAATTCAAAACCAGAGTTAAGTACAGTACTTGTGACTAAATTCAAGTATTGGTCCTGACCAATTGAGTGAATGGTTTTGGTTAAGTTGGCACTTAGGTAAATCTGTAGGTCTTCACTAAAATTTGGTGGGTCGTAACTAAAAATTGAATCTAACCTTTAAAGCACTTGAGCAGTTTGTTAGTTTCCTTTTCTGCCATGTCGGGTTTTTTTTTAAACCACATTTTCCCCCATCTAAAATACTAAAGAATTTACTTGGGGATTTTGGTTAAGTTCCAATTTTCTAACAAGAAAGAACTGAACTGAACTGAACTTCTCACCCAGGCCTTGTATATGCATATACAGTGGTGCCCCGCATAGCGACAATAATCCGGGTAAATCGTCGCTATCCGAAAACGTCGCTATGTGGGGGGGGGAACCTCATAGGAACGCATTAAACCCTGTTTAATGCATTCCTATGGGGGAAAACTCACCGCTATGCGAAGATTTCCCATACGGCCGCCATTTTTGCCGCCTCGGTAAGTGAGGGCAGGGCGCGAAAACACTGCGGGTGGCCATTTTGGAACCGCCGATCAGCTGTTGGGGAAACACCGCAATGCGAAGATAGGTAAGCGAAATGCTTACCGATCATCGCAATGCGATTTTCGCCCATTCAAAACGTCGCAATGCGATCGCTTTTGCAATCGCTAAATCTGCATTGCTATGCGGATTTGTCGTTAAACAGGGCACTTGCTATGCGAGGCACCACTGTATCTAGTAGGAGGTAATGAGATCCTCACAAGATTTATTTATTCTTTGTGAGATAATAACCTCCTGACACATTGAGAAGGCTGTCAGAATTGTTGATCTCCGTGAGATTTTCCACCTCCAATATGAGAGTGAGACAAGGGAGAGCTTTTTTTGCTGTTGAGCTTTCCATAATTTGTACAAAATTATCCCTATGCAAAACCAGGGTCTTTTCCTGTTGTGAAGGAAAGTACTTTCACACAGAAGATGCAGAAGAAACATGGCTGGTTCATCAAAACAATGCAAACCACCAAACCATTTGGATGTTTAAAAGTCCATGCGACAAGCCAACACTTCCCACTTTTGCTTAGCTGTGCAATTTGCACAAATTGTACCAAAATGTTCCTGCAACTATAAGAACTGACAGAAAGTATTTTGCTAACTTTCAAGATAAAGGGATTGTTTTCTTTTAGGTATTTCTGTTTTTGAACATGAAAATGAAGCAAGCAAAGATTTGTGTCCATAGTGCAATATAACCTGGTTTGTTTAGTTGTTTAGTTGTGTCCGACTCTTCGTGACCCCATGGACCAGAGCACACCAGGCCCTCCTGTCTTCCACTGCCTCCCGGAGTTTAATCAAATTCATGTTGGTAGCTTCGATGACGCTGTCCATCCATCTCGTCCTCTGTTGTCCCCTTCTCCTCTTGCCTTCATACTTTCCCAACATCAGGGTCTTTTACAGGCAGTTGGTTAAAACATAGTATTTCCACCTTGTCATATGAGTCCTGGGAAGCTAAAGTAACTTTGTTCTTTCCAGGTCAGCTGCTCCCTTTGGAAGATGCAACGTATGAGGAACAAGTGGTCAAAGGGGTGCGTGATCGTGCAGTTGTTCTCCCCTGTGGCGACGTAGTCTTGCCCATGATTGTCTTCTGGAGTTTCACCGGATTTGGCTCGCTTGTTCCCAGGGCTGTTGCCATCAGCAATGGCATAAGTTCCAAGGTGGAGAAGGCTGCTGCTGTTCTTGGGGAGGTGACCTTGAGGAACAGCACTTTGGAGATAGCAAACCTACAAAAGGCAGCAGAAGGGCGTTTCATGTGCCAGGCGATGTATGAAGAAGAAGAGGAGATCCAAGTAGCTTACTTCTATATTGAGCTCACTGTTTTGAGTAAGTCAAACGTGGAAATATTGTCCAGTCAGATTCTATGCATTTACAGTTGTTATGACATTAGAGTAGAGGTGAGAAATCGTTGGCTTCCCAAATATTTTGTCCTGTAGCTCCTTCAGCCCTTTTCCATCGGCCCTGCTGGATCTGATGAGCTTTTTCGGTCAAAATGTTTGGAGAGCCAAGATTCTCCACCTCCTCCTTAATATTTTCTACAACATCAGTGATGTGTGTGTGTTTAAGCAGTCGATTTGGAGCAGAGGGTCAGCCTGGTGGATTTAGGAGTGTTACCAACCCTTTTGCTCACCTGCTGCTTCTTCTCAACCACCTGACTCCCCCCCCCCTCTCTATATATATATTTTCTTCACATCAGGCTTCAGTGCAAGACCTTTTTATTTGTACAGACGTGTGCTTGAATCCCTGCAGTGGTAAAAGTGGTTTTTGTGGGTAAGACAATCGGGTATGAAAACAGAAGCCAGAAAAAGAGATCAACTAGGAATGAATAGACTCTTTTTGCTCCGGCCCACGTCATGTTTGCATGTGGTTCATTCATCAGTCTGCTCTCTCCTATTTCTGCATTCACTTGGTTGTTTTAAATGAAAACTGCCATGAACATTGACATTCACCTAAGTATCTTACATCTTTCCCTGACACACTGTGGATTTCTAAACCAATGGGGGTCCCAGAAATATGCATTTGAAAAGGCATAATGGTCTCGCTCAGTGGCAGAAGTGGTGAAATGAGGGAGAGCTGCAGTTTAATCTTGGAGATGCAGCTCCTATTAGATTCCTTAAGCATCCAATCAGAAATGGGAAATTTCTTCCTTTTTTTTGCAGGGAGGGGGGCTAACTCCCAGAACCTCATGGCTAGCATGGTCATTCTGTAGCATTCTGGAAGCTATAATGCAAAAACAGAAATTTCCCATCTCTGACGATCCCTAAGGAAAGGGGTTTCTCGCCTTTTTTCTTTGACTTGCTTTTAAATGCTTTCGAATGCTTTTAATCTGGTGGGGGCTTTTTTGAATACTACAATTTATTTAATGTGGTTTCAATATCATACTTTATAACTGAAGTGCTGGTAAAGCTCAGTGGGTGGGAGTGGCATGTTTGCGGTCCCAGGGGCTGTGAGTTCAAAGGTCGACTGTGCCTCCTAGGAGACCCACTGGCCGAGATCACATGGAGCATGTATGGCTGATGGGTTATGTGCCCTGCCACCTACACACACTTCTGATTACTTTATACAAAGAAAACCCTGAAAAAGGCCGCCATAATTTGAAATTGATTCGGTGGCCCATGATTATTACCAATATTATAACGCCCTGCCACTTGCACACACTTGGGCAAGTGGCACGGTTCACTTCTGAGTACTTTATACAAAGAAAACCCTGAAAAGAGCCGCCATAATTTGAAATTGATTTGGTGGCCCATGATTATTACCAATATTATAACATTTTATGCTTTTAGTTGCATCTCTTTTTAAAATCATGTTCTAAACTACCGTGGATTCCAGGTAAACTGCCCGTAGGAATGCTTGCACCAATGGGGAAGTATATAAACTGAATAAATAAATACATAAAAATGAGTATTAAGAAAAAGAAGGAATGTCAGATCTGCTTTTGGCTTCTCTATAAATGGCCACTTAGTTCATTTCGGTGTGTAGGTATCTCCATAACACACTGGCGTCAGAAGAAATGTCTGTCAGATCTGCTTTTGGCTTCTCTATAAATGGCCACTTAGTTCATTTCGGTGCATAGGTATCTCCATAACACACTGGCGTCTCCAGATCTGTGTAGCAGTAAAAGGTTTGCAACCGAGTAATTGGATCCCCCCCCCCCGAAAAAGACTTGTGCACAAGGTGGGGGGGGTTTACTGCTGGGCTTCCTGGGGAAAGTATGTCCATAGTTTCTCATGTAACATACAGATATTTGGCCCATCTGTGAAAGCAGAATGCTGCCAATGACTTTGTAGGGGTGATTGTTTGCAGGCCTGCATTTTTCCACTGGTGGGGTTGGTTGAACTCCACGTGTCAAATATTCTTTGGTTGCCGGGCAGTTTCCTCTCCCAAGTATGCAGCCATCCTTCATTTCCCACAGTTTCACTCGAGTGACTTGTCTTTGCTGTCAGCCAACATGAGATCTAATTCTTTCCCTACCTTGGGGCCATTGGCCTCTATTCGTTGGCACCGTCTGCAAACTAAGGGAAAAGAAATATGTGTTTACGATTTTCTCCTGTCCAAGAGACCATTTATAAGAATAAAGATGTTTGTTGCAATGATATATTTTTCTTTCAGCTCAATAGGGCTGTTAACTTACTTGTTCACCCATACGTGCATGTAAATGTACTTGTTCCCTTGCAATGTATGCATACTCCCCCTCTTTCTTTGTGATGTTTCTTGTATGTGGAATCATTCTGCATTCCAGTCATGGTAGTCCAATCCAATGGTTCCCACTCTTGGGTCTCCAGATGTTCTTGGACTACAACTCCCAGAAATCCTGGCAAGCATAACTAGTGGTGAAGGCTGCTGGGAGTCTTAGTCCAAGAACATCTGGGGACCCAAGGTTGGGAACCACTGGTTCAGTAGGTTCACTGTGGCTTATCTACAAAGGAAGCAGTCAACGTCTAGAGTTTGGGGGAAGTTTATTGGAGCACGCACACAACCTCAGCAGAAATGTACCAGTTTTTCTGCTGCCACCCAAATATAATGGCAGCTGTGGCAGCTGTAAATGAGGTGCAAAGATCCTGGAGTGCCAGTGCACAGCACAAAGCCCTGCCAATAAGTCGAATGGAATATTTCATTCCTTCCCAGAAAGGAATAACCTTCACCCTGACATTCGCGCCGCCCCCTCGCTGGGCGGAGTGCCAGCGCACAGCACAAAGCCCTTCCAATATGTCGAGTGGAATATTTTATTCCTTTCTAGAAAGGGAAGAAAGTATATTTCCCTCCGTGGGCCTACCAGTATATGGGCATCAAAGTCACCAAAAAATGATTGGGGAGGGAGCAGATTTTGCCCAACCTGACCTACTAAATCACTGCCCAGAACTTTGAGCGAGGTAAGTTCAGAGGAGAGACTCATAATATAATTGTTGTGGTTCAACTCTATTGAAGGAGAACACCCATCGTAGGATTCAAATCAGATCATTCTGTTGTATTTGAAGATGGCAAGTGCTATCAGGCTGGAGCTCTTGAGAGTTTATAGGAAGTCTGGGCCAAAATAGAGTGCCATGAAACAGAATTTTGCAAGGCACACGAAGAACGCGGCCAGACAGCCCGAAAAACCTACAACAGCCATCGGATCCTGGCCGTGAAAGCCTTCAAGAATACACATGAAGAATATTCCAACTCTAGAGTCAGGTAGTTCATCCATGAATAACTAACTTTCCCAGACAATAGATCAAGCAGGGACTAAACAGAAGGCAGGGAGCTTCAACCTCTCCCACCAGCATAGCATGCATCTACTTTGGACTGGCCCTCTCCATGCTTCTTGTGAGTAAAAAAGTAACACAAGTACAAGTCATTTTGCCAAGCTGTGGATACAGTATTTAGTTTAACCATAAGAAGTCAGTGTGTCTGTGAAAGGTGAGTGGAGTTTTGCATGAAAGGATTGTGAGGTTGGTTCTAGTACTGAAAAATAATTTTAGAGTTGAGCATAGGTTAGTCTGAAATTTCTGACCTCCCTCTGGAGCTTTTGTTTGAGAAAGACGAGTGGAGTTTTGCATGGTTGGTTCTAGTACTGAAAAATAATTTCAGGGTTGAGCATAGGTTAGTTTGAAGTTTCTGACCTCCCTCTGGAGCTTTTGTTTGTACATGGCTCTGGTTGTTGAATCTTGGATCTTTGGGCCAAAGTCTATTCTTTAGGCTTGAAGTTCTCTTGGGCTTAGAGTCTGTGGATGTCTCAAAAAGGTACGAGCAAGCTCTCAGCTCTCTGTGTGCTTTTCCCCAGTCCCTGTTTCAAAGCCCTTCCTGCAGATGAATGATTCTGTGCCCGTGGAGGGCGCGTCTGTGGTGATGACGTGCACAGTGAAAGAGGGCACGGATCCTGTTGATTATCGCTGGCATCGTCACACCAGTCGGGATGGAACAGTTGCCATTGCAGAAGCAGTGGGTACCTCCTTGAACCTCACATCCGTTAACCGCACTCACATGGGATGGTACACCTGCACAGCCCACAACGAGGTCAACAGCCAAACTAGTGACCGGATGTACCTAGATGTTATCTGTAAGTAACTGGGAAGCTGGACCAAATCGTTTCTTTTTTTAGTCTCATGGAAGCCTTCTTTGTGCCCTGCCAGGTCATCATCCCACAATATTATGAAAAATTGAATAACATCCAATGCTTGTTGAAGTAGGTGGAATATTAGGAGGTGCTCAGAGCCCAGAGACAAGGCTGGATTAAAACTCTTTTAATTAACTTAAAACAGCCACAGGCCTTCTTGAATCTGTTTTCTGTAGTTATATTTTTTAACATAAATGGACATAAACATGAAGGAAGGGGGAGGAAAGAGCCAAAATAAAATAAAAATAAAATGGTTTCAGCTCCGCCCTCACCTGAGATTTTAGAAATAATTGGTGAATGTTGCTCATTACACTGGGAAGTATTTTGCCAAAATAACATTGTTATGCTGTCATCATTCCTACAAGTACTGTATACATTTCACAGAAGTGTGAAGAAGATAACTCCCAGAATCCCCCCTTCCATTATGACTAGCGGCATCCAAACTGGTTTCCAAACATTTTCCTTCTTACTGGGAGGTCTTGGGAACTGTAGTTCTGTGTATGGGAGCCTTTGGGGACTCTTGGTATTCTCAGCACCCCGAGGTTTCACTCAGATGTTACTCCTGGCCCTCTCTGTTTCTAGCAAGCCACTGAATGCCTCCCGATGTCTTCTGTAGATGGGCCTGACGAACCAGTGATCAGCGTGGAGCCATTTGCGATTAACCAACATGGCTTCCTGGCCAATGAGCAAGAAGAGGTGATCATGACCTGCCTGGCTCCTTCTAATCCACCCAGCCACTACATTTGGTTCTACAATAGCTCCCAGGTCTATTCAGGCCAGAAGTACGTGATCACGAGAATCTCACGGACCCAAACCGGCGTATATACGTGCCTAGCCCAGAATTTGCATTTGAACACGCGTACCCAGACAGCCATTATCTTGACTGTTTACTGTAAGTAAGCCCTTCTTGTCATGTTTGGGCATGATGTTCTAGCATGCAGTGTTGCATCTGTTTTTCCCTTCTTGTCTTCTCTGTATCCTTTCCTTGCACCTTTCCATGTATTGCCACTGTTGACATAGCTAAAGAGGAATCAGAAAGTGAAAAGAAATATGGAGGAGGGCATCAGAGGATAATTAGGGTGAATGATGCTTTTTTGTGGAAGGTTTCCATGTTTCATAATAATAGTGATGATAATAAAATGGCAGTCAAATAAACCAAAGCAACGTTTCCAACGGTTGCGTGACAAATAAAGACTGCTGCCATTCAATCCTTAAAAATAAATATACGGATGGATGTATTTTGCTCTTTAGCTACGATGTTGATTGGCTTCTTTGGCATATTATGGGCCAAAGTAAAGTTTACTCTGTTCTTTCTGGTCAGACTGTTAATTTGGCTCTTTTGGCAACAGAACGAAAGAGAAGGGGGAAAGATTTATACATATACATTTCATGCTTTTCTGTGAAAAATGTGCAGATAACGGGGCCAACATTATGCTGTGAATTTTAAAGGGAGAAGTCTTGTTCATGTGTCCATCCATGTTTAGTAGCCTTCTAGGAAGTCTTCCTTGTAGTATTCGATGTATTCTGCTACAATGAAATTAATGTATGGTGGAACCTTGATACAGATCTGCATAGGAAATCTCAAACTTGTTCTTCCATCTGGGACCCAACAGTCCTTAGCAAGATAAGGAGAGGTAGAGCCAGTCTACACATGCATCACTGTACATCTAGAATTGCCAATGTGTGTGGGGGGCAGTATCTAATCTCTTTAAAAACTCATTTTAACCTTTTGGCAGATAATACTAGCCTATTAGAGACTATGGCTAGCAGTTTGGCTATCTCTCCACTTCCTTTAATTGCCAATAAACCCATGTAAACAAATCATGGGCATCTCTCCTGCCCCCCCTCAGGGAGCTTAGGAAGATGTGTTTTGACAGAAATTTGGGTCATGAAGCTTACATGTAGATCTGGGAGACTGTGAGCATGGCATCTGCTGAATTTTCTACTAGTGACCATGGGAACACTACAAGTCAAACACAGACAGAACCAATGGAACCTGCTTAGCAAGCTCGGAAATGAAACAGTGATGTTCTGATTGTTTTTATTTTGAACTTGTTAATCTTCACAAATACTAAAGTTTTTTGCGGTATGTTAAAGATAAGCAACTGATCGACTTTAGACAAAAAGCTATAAATGGTTTTGATGTTCAAAACTGTCCGCGGGCCGGACAGGAGCGGCTTGAGGGCTGTATGTGGCCCTCGGGCCGCACTTTGCCCAGGTCTGCCCTAATCCAACTAACGCTACTGTTGGTACAGCATCAGCATAATGGTACTAAAGATGTATTTATCTGATATGTCGTAAGTCAAGCTGGAACATGGAGATGATGTAGGAGGGACTCCAGTTCTCTGCTAGGTGATGATGACTGACCATCTGCTACTGTGGTATGCCACCAACTACCATGATGCTTTTGGTGTCAGTAATTGCTCATTGCTGTTGATACAGTGTTTGCCCCCATGCACAGATTTGCCCAAGGGGAAACCCAAATGCATGCCACTGCCAGCTGCCAATTTCCGAGACATTGCTCTGCACTGTTCGTGGCAGGGGGGCTTCCCCCCAGTGCGGCTGCGGTGGGTGAAATCCAGGCAGCAAGGAAACTACACAGCCACTTACTCCAATGCCACCCAAATCCACCGAGGCATGGACGTCCGCAACGGAAGCTCCTATACCTGCCTGGCTTCCCACCCAGCACTGAAAGAGGACACTGTCTGCAGGACCACTGTGTGTGAGTACCAGAAACAAATGGAGGAATATGTTGGATCATTGTGTTGTTGTGTAATCTTCCATTTCACGCCCCCTGGAGATGGGTGAGCACTTAAGTGGATTTTGCTGTTGGAAATCTGCAGATGTAATGACTTTGAAAAAGTGTGCCTGATAAAATGCACACACCTGGAAAAATGGAGACAGAAGAATGCATTAATTTTAAAAATGTCCACGCAGGGGACATAAATGTGCTCGAGCCGTTCAAGAGATGATGCGTGAAGTGTAAATATTTGAAGAACACATGGACAAATTTGCACTGAAATGTAAAATATGCCCCCCCAAAACTGACCACCATATTTCCAGTTAAAGAATAAGAAAGCAATAAAATTAAGAAGAAAGGGTCTACGGAAGCATCATGGGTTGGACTTAACAGATCTAAATCCCCTGTTGCTCCCGGTATTGGACAAAGCAAACGCGTTTTCAGAAGTTGGGAGCTAGTGCCCAAACACAACTCAGGTTGTGAGATAAGGGATGTGAAAATTGCTCAGTCTCCCGCATCCCCCAGCCCATCCTTGTTTTGAATCCGGTTGCAAGACCTTCTTTGTCCATATTTTTGCACACTTTTCCTAGTGAGTGTCTTTATTGACACATTTTCTAATGTGCCATTTCCCCTCTATTGATTAAAACATGTTTTATGCCTTTATTTTCAGTTCTTTATGTTTTTACCTATTTGCAAATATGTGCCTTCTCGTGTGGCCCATTAAGGCTTGCAAATGTGCAAATTCTTGAGATGAGGTTTTGTTTTGCTTTCTGGCCAGAGGCCTCTGGAGGGAAGAGCAGGCGACTTTCATCAAGATTATTAAACCTAACCTTATTTTCCATCCCTACTGGAAATCTACAACTAGATTGTAAAAGCAGTCCCCTCCCTTTCCCTTTCTCCATCTCCCCTTCTATATCTCCCTCGTTCTCCAATGAAACTCAGCTATGACTCTATGCCAGTTACAATGCAAAAACTTTGCTTTGTTCATATACAGCAACCATGAACGCTGGGCAACTGGCAGGGCTATATCACAGTTTTTGGGTCCCTTTTTTAAGGTCTTCTGGTTTCCATGCCTTTTGTTGGTTTGTTTTAATTACCAGCCTTGTTTGTTGCTCTGAGGTCTGATTGGCTGTGGCTAGAAGTCAATTTCTTAATGGCTGGACTAGATGATACAACAGTGTCACAACTAGAAGGTGATAAAATGCTCTTCCAACCAAATAAAGTCCTTTTTGAAGCTGCTATGTCTGCATGATCCATTTCCCAATGAAGCCTCTGTGTATCTCCCAGTGACCAGTCACCACCCAAAAGACAGCTAATTTGTAACTTGTGGAATTGAGAAACCTCATGCTAGGATAAATTGGGGTGTCTAATTTCTTACAGGAGCATATTGTGACACCTAGATGTTACCTCTCTGTGCCGCAGGGGTTCCAGGAGGGAGTCCCACCTGCAGTGCAGTGGCGACCAAGCAGAATGAATTCCTCATGTTGACCTGTGACTGGGCAGGCGGAGAACCTCGGGTGACCCTGTGGTGGAGAGACTGGAGGGACCACGTGCTGGGAGGTTTGAAACCCTCCCACAGCATCTTTGTCATGAAATCCAACAACTCCTTGGGGGGCAAAGAATTTACCTGCATGGCCGCTCATCCCCTACAGAGGAGAACAGCGGAGTGCCACATCCGACTGGGTGAGCGGATCAGAACGCGTGGCATTGACGCGAGGAGAGGTCAGAGGTACCAGGAGTGCTGTACCAATAGTTATTTAGTAGAAGGAATTACCCTGGGTAAAGACAGAAAACTTAATGTTACAGTAGGACCGCGATATCTGGGAGGAATGGGGTCAAAGCACCCCCTCCACGGACACAGAAAAATGTGGAAGTAGTGAACCTTATACATAGCATTGTCATTCCAGGGGAATTTAGACCAGTGGTTCTTAACCTTGGGTTACCCAGGTGTTTTTGGACTGCAACTCCCAGAAGCCTTCACCACCAGATGTGCTGGCTGGGATTTCTGGGAGTTGCAGTTCAAAAACACCTGAGCAACCCAAGGTTAAGAACCACTGATTTAGACAACCAGATACCCTTTGATTTATATTCCTGCATTGGGCAGGGGGTTGGACTTGATGGGCTTATAAGCCCCTTTGAACTTCATTATTCCATGATTCTGTGATTGTTGCTGGCTCTCTCTAGTGGCTAGTTTCAGTATAATAATAATAATAATAATAATAATAATAATAATAATAATAATAATAATAATAATAATAATAATAATAATAATAATAATAATAATAATAATAATAATAATAATAATAAAATTTATTGT